GCCAAGGACTCAGCCCCAGATGTCCCCATCCCCCTTGCTAAACCGCTTTCTTCCTGATTCTAGGGCTCTAGGGAGTTTAGTTCTTGGTGAAGGAGGACACTGTGCAGCTGTGAACTGGCCAGAACTTGTAGACTTACAGAGAACATCTGTCCAGGGGCGCTCTGCACCGTGTGGATGACTGTCTGGGTCTGGAGGAAAGAAACCAGGTCTCACCCAGGCTCTCCCATGTGAAGACCACCAGCTCCCACCAGAGGGCGCCACACGGCAGGCACCTCCAGGGGGTGTAATCAGCCCAATGGCCCCACAGACCCCACAGAGGGTGGGTCCAGCTGTTTCTTCTCTCAAGGGGATGAGGGAGGGCAAAGGTTAGAACCCTGAAGAAGACAGATGGGGACGCTGGTGGCTCTGGCCCATCTTTCCTCTCAGGGAAACGTCTCTCAGCCTAGCCTCCCTTTGCAGGTGGGAGAAGGGAATGCGGGACACGGTCTTCCGTGGCTGCCCACAGGCTGGCAACTCAGGTTGTTTCATCACGGCCAGCCAACCACATCCAACCCCCCACCTCGCCAGGCCGGGCAGACGGTCAAGGGCCTGGCCTCTGCCCTCCCCACTCCCAATGGGAGAGGCCCAATGCCTGGCCCCGCCTCCTCCATGAGCCCAGAAGAGCCAAAATGAAGAGGATCCAAAAAGAAAGCAAGAGACTTACAATGGGAGCTGGGTTGGCAGGCCACACGCCGGGAGGCTGGAGGGGTGAGGAGAGTCAGAACGGTGGTTATCGCGGGCACCACAGAACGGGAAGAGACAATAGCAGAACTCCAGGGAGGCTCTTGTGCTCAGAAATGCCTCCCCAGATACACCCGCCTCCCTCTTGCTCCCAAGCAAGCCTTCCTGAGCCCATGGCCCCCAGATTTTTACCCCCAGGTGCACAGGGCTTTGGGGTTGGGGGGTAGGGTATCCCCATTTGTTCCTCTCCAGAGAGAGGAGGCTGGGTTTGCTGGAGTCCTCACTACTTTCTGTAGCTCCCACAGCCAAGAGTGTTACTTCCAGTGCCATATTTCACCCGTAAGGTGAGAAGGGGTATTTGTTGAAGGCCTGCTGTGGGTCGATTCCTGGGCTTCAGTGCTTTCCAATGAGGGAAGCCTCAGCTCCTGTGTCCCTGGTGAGGCAGTGAGGCTCAGAAAGATTAAGCAACTTGCCCAAGCTCGCCCAGGTAGAAGGGACCAAATCCAAAACGGCAGCCAGTTCTGTCTGACTGTATCCAGCACACTTTCTGTCACCCCCAGGGTCAGGGCCAGGGCCAAAGTTGGGCTGCCCTGCAAAAGTTCCCCGGGGCTCAACCAGTCCTGAAGTCAGCGTGGCAGGAGGCAGGTGCCCTGTCTGTACCGTGATGGGCCATAGAAAGACTGTGTAGACAAAGCGCCCCTCCTCCAAGTCCCCACTGCTTGAGTGGCCAGAGGAAGGGCTGCTCGCCTACTTGTCCTGGATCCTGCCCCACCCAGTAGACTGTTCTTGCCCTGGCTGGTATCCCATTCTTCCTGGCTGTGAGAACCACATTCCACATTCATTCATTCACTGAGCCCCTACTGAGTGCCGGGCACTCTGCAAATGAATAAACCACGGTCCTAGCCCTCTGAGGCCTCATGGGCATAGGGAGGTGGGGTGGAGTGACAGGGACAGACATGCAAACACAGTTACAATGGGGTGCTGTGAACTGGCATGGCACAGATATGTACAGACTCCATGGGGACATGGCGGGAGCGTCCAACAATATTCTGGGCAGGGAGGACTCCCAGAGGAGAGACACTTAGGCAGAGCATGGAAGGGCAATTAGGCGTGTGCTGGGGACAGGCTGGCAGAGGGTGCTTCCGGGACCAGGGACAGCATATGCAAAAGCATGGTGGCCCGAGAGGGCCTCGCGTGAGCTGTGGAGGCTGCGTGAGCTTCGTGGGTTGGGGGTGAGGCAGGGAGGTTGATTGGGGCCAGACTCGGGAGGAATCTGTATGCCCTGCTGGGGAATTTGGGCTTTATTTGAAGGGCTTGGGGCTTTTAAGATTTTTAAGCAGGGAGAGGGTGTGATCAGATTTGCTTATAAGAAGGTCATTGCGGCAGTGGTTGGGTGTGGGGGGTGGGAACTGGACCCCTGTCGTCATGGTGAGGAATCCCAGAGGCCTGAGCCTTGTCGGTGGCTTCAGGACCCTTGGTGCCTTGGAGAGACATAAAGAAGGGGGAGTGAAGAATCCAGGGCGACCCCCAGATTCCCAGCTCTGGGTGCCCAGTGGACAGAGACAGGGAACTCTTGAGTGGGCACGATGTGGTGTCCTGCTGGCTGGGGCCGGCCTCTCAGAACCTGGTCCTTCCTGCTGTCTGCTCAGCCACCCAGGGCCTCTGTGTTGAACTCACTTTTTGTCTGTGCCCCTGTGCCCCCTGGGCCTGGGTGGGAAACAGACAGGCTGGGAGAACGGCACCATGGAGAAGGCGGGCTGAACAGGGACTGTGCGGGGGTTCTGTTAAAACAAAAGGCACTGGGTGGTAAGGAGAAGCATTAATGGAGCCAAGAAGAAGCTGAAAGGCAGAGGCAGGGGCAAGAGGGAGAGATCAGGAAGGCAGAGGGATGTGGCAACGCCGAGGCGGGAGGGGAAAGGGCCAGGCTCCGGTGAGCAGCACAGAGGGGCAGTCTCCCTCCAGCTCTTCCCTTCCACCTGCAGGGGAGAGAGTCAGGGAAGGAGGGAATGAGAGATGAGGACCAAAGGGTGAGGAGCCCAGATTTGCTGAGGGCCTACTGCGCACTTCACTCATCTCAGGGAGCTCCCTCGAATGCCAAAAGGGTAACAGCAGCTCCCATCCAGCTGCCAGTGCCCTGTGGGAATGTGCGCCCAGCATACCCTCACCTTCCCGTTTTTCATGTGGTATTAGTATCTCCTGACCTTCTTTAGTTTTATTTATTTTATTTTGTTATTCAAACAAGAATTTTTTAGAGGTGGGGTCTTGCTGTGTTGCCCAGGCAGAACTAATTCCTGGGCTCAAGCGATTCTCCTGCCTCAGCCTCTTGGGTAGCCAGGATTGCAGACCTCCACCACCGTGCCCGGCTCTCCTGACCTTTCAGATGTTGACAACACATTCAAAGTCTTTAAAACACAGAGGTCAAACAGACCCTGGTGTGGGCCCAGGGGGCCATTGTGTGACCTCTGATATCTGTCTCCTCACTGAACCACACAACCACCCACGGAGGGCAGGCAATGACCATGCTCATTCTACAGATGAGGAAACCGAGGCTGAGAGAGGCAAAGTCGCTTGTCTAAGATCCCACAGAGGATGAATGGCAGAGCTGGGAATCTGAACTGGATTCAGTTTGGTTCCTGAGCCTGGGCTCTTTCTAGAACAACATGGCCTCCTAACCAGGGTGGAAATCAAGGGGTGAGGAGAAAGGGGTAGCCGAGGAGTCTGGGAGACCAAGGCAGGTGACACAGAAGGAGGGGCAGAGTGACAGAGGAGAAGGGGCGGGCAGGCACTGGGACAGGGAAGCAGAGGTTGTCCCCAGAGTCACCTGGGTAGGAGATTGGCTTGGGTCCACCCAGCAGGGCCTAGGCACAGCTACGCTGGGCCCTGCATCCCAGCCCCGGGGACCGGTACAGGTGGACAGTCTGACCTGGAAGCTGATGTAGGACAGCTGCACAGAGCCATTGACGGAGATGGTGTCCACACGGTGGAAGGGCACGCGGTGGAAGTACTGCACGAAGAGGCTCCCGTTCACCATCACCTGCCAGAGGAGAGCACGTGTTCCGGGGCAGGTGCCCCAGGCCGGGATGGGGACCCCCCCCTGCACTCCTGGACCCTCCTTCTATAAAATGAAGACCTGAGTCTGGGCCTCACTGTGGGGCCAGTTATAGGAACGTGTGTGACCCGAAGGGCATCAACCCGAGTCTCTGCTGGGCTCCAGTGGTTGGTTTTCCTTCTTCTGGTCGTTTACTGCAGTAGGTTTGTCTTTCTAGTCTTAGCTCACCTGGGGCTTCATTTATTTATTATTTATTTACCTTCAACTTTTTTTTTTTTTTTTTTGAGATCGAGCATCAGTCTGTCTCCCAGGCTGGAGCACAGTGGTTCAAGCCATTCTTGTGCCTCAGCCTCCCGAGTAGCTGGGATTACAGGTGCCCACCACCACACCCAGGTAATTTTAGTATTTTTAGTAGAGACAGGGTTTCACCATGTTGGCCAGGCTGGTCTTGAACTCCTGACCTGAAGTGATCTGCCCTCCTCAGCCTCCCAAAGTGCTGGGATTATAGGCATGATCCACTGTGCTCATCCCCTTCAACTTTTATTTTAAGTTCCAGGGTGTGAGTACAGGATGTGCAGGTTTGTTAACTAAGTAAACGAGTGCCATGTGGTTTGCTGCACAGATCAACTCATCAGCTTGGTATCAAGCCCAACATCCATTAGCTAATCTTCCTGATGCTCTCCCTCCTCCACAAGGGCCCAGGGTGTGTTGTCTCCCACCTTGTGTACATGTGCTCTTATCATTCAGTTCCTACTTATAAGAGAACATGTGGTGTTTGCTTTTCTGCTCCTGCGTTAGTTTGTTGAGGAAAAAGGCTTCCAGCTCCATCCATGTTCCTGCAAACGACATGATCTTGTTTGTTTTTATGGCTGCAGGGGTATTATTGAAATATGCATAAAATGCTCACGGGGAACAGAGGAGAAGTGACCTCGGGTTGCATACGGAGTGGATGGGAACATCCTCATCTCAGATAAGCATACTCAGACTGACTGACCCACCGGCTTCTCAAGCCCAGAGACCTACACTACTTGCAAAGGTAATTTGCAATGTGCTTACAAAACTATACCCTTAATAGACCCTGGATAAAGGCTGGAACAATGTCGCTGAAAAATAAATGTTACCAGCGACCTGGAGAGGAGGAATGGTGACAGCAGAGGAATGGAATGAGCTTGGAATTCAAAGACACACAACACCAAACAGCAACGTGATGACTCCTCTGGTTCTTATTTTCAGAGTAAAAGAAGCAGCAGGCGCACCTGTAGATTCAGGTGAAGGTGCAGAAGGAGACTACGCAGCCATGGGTAACACCTTACAAGGAAATGGTCGTGTTATCGTACAGTGGTGTCACTCTGGCTGAATGTCAATTGAAGTGATTACTTAAAAGCCATTCACCTGATAGGGCTAGGGGGTCCCAGGGCTGAGAGGTGGGGAGAGGATTCCTGCTCACCTTGAAATCTGAGCTCTGCACCAGGAAGCAGAGGTCAAAGGGCATTCCCTGCTGGGAGAGAATGTGCATCTTCCTATCCTCAGGCTCCCAGCTTCCTTTCTGCCTTGTGTTGCACACCACTTACCCTCCCTCTTCAAATGGAGGGTTGAAGTGGAAGGCAAGGTCGTTTCCACTGAAGCCGGTCTGAAAGTCCACAGCAAACCTAGGCCCAGGGAGAGCAAATAGTTCTCTGTGGCATGGTTTATTGCCAGGGATAGGCACAGGAGGGCCTCGGCGCCTCTGCCCTGCATTTGTCTGGGATCTTGCATAGAACCTGCCTGGCAGAGACTGGTTGGTTGGCATCCTTTTTTTCCTCTAACTTGGATCTAATGTGTTTTTGTGCAATTATTGCATTTTGCCTTTACAGCATGATTTTCTAAAAATAAGTAGAAAATGGCTAAGGAAAAGTGCTGGCATGAGCAAACAAGAAGCACAGGTCTTGGAAAGTGATTACCAATTGGTACCAAAGATGGAAGTTGCTAAGCACACCTAGAAGACAGAGCCTTCCGTGCCAGTGGACACTTGTTGGAGGCCAGCACA